CGACAGAGTTTCTGATCCCCCTATTTGTTAGGTTCTCCTCGCTCAAGGATTTGCAGCTTATAAAAACAGACGCAGCAGCTGCAAGGGAAAGCCTGTGAGCCAGTGCCTCTCTGATGAGCGCTGTGTGCCGCTTTAGCGGAGCCGCTCGCTGCCGTAACACCCTTCCCTGCTCTGTTCCCCTTCCTCAGGGCACTGGTGGATGCTGCTCTCATAGCAAAGGACACAGTTGTGTGCTGCTTCCAGAATGAAAACACGGAGTGGTGCCTGGCTGTCTGGAGGGGCTGGAGCTCCAGAGACTTTGACGTTTTCTACCAGGCCTACGAAGAGCTGGGAAGGCTTGAAACCTGCATGCGGAAGAGGAGGTAGTGCTGGCGCTGGCCGGGAACCGAGGCTCGAGGGACGCGCCCTGCTCCAAGCGCGCCCAGACTCCAAGCCACAGCCCCAGTGGGGCAGGGGACAAGGGGTGTGAGGGGGGAGCAGGTGTCTGGTTTGCTGCTAACGAGCACTGCGGGGTTCCCGTGGCTGGAGCCTCGTCAGGGTTTTTGGGGAATGAAGAAACCAAGGTGAGCGGGGCAGGGACCGGCCGGGGAGCTGGGATGTCTCTCCGCTCTCTCGCTCCGTCACGCACTCCCCTGCAATGGTACAGAGGAGGTGGCTGGAGTTCTGCTTGTGCCTCTAGTTCCAGTTTCTTCTTGCCCGTTTTAAATTCCTTCCTCCCCTTCAGCATGCCCTGGCTGCTGCTGCTGCTGCTGCTTTTATAGCATATGTTGTCAGCTAGGAGAGCTTCTGTGAACCCCAGCAGGCTCTTTCCTGGGAGCCCGTGCTGCAGCGCTGCTCCCCACATCCCTGTGAGGCTGTTGGAGGCTGCTCCAGGTGTAGCCCCTGTTGTGACTGCTGTGTAGAGACACCCAGGTGTAAGAACCAGTGATAAGCTTTGGCTGGCCGCTGCGTTTCTGGTTCCTACAAGCTGTTGTGGTGCAGCGTTACTGGGAGAGAGCTGGAAATTAGCCACCAGTAACACTGCATGAAGCCAGTAAGCGAACGAGCTGTTCTACTGCGCTTTTGCAAAGTCTGTTGTAAATAGAGCTGATGTGAAGCCACTCGGTTTGACAGATCCTTCCTGGTGTAAGAGAAAGGGGCCCTGTGACCAGGAAGGTTTAAAAAACCATCTTTGCTCCGCTTCTTTCTCTTGATAAATGCACCCTGGGGTATTGGGAACACAATAAGCTTAATTTGCCTGCGTATCTGTGCAGCTTCTGCTCACCACAGCTTTCATTTTATCTTCATTAGTGGCCTGGGATGATGTATTGGCTCTGAATACAGTTGCACTTAGTTATCCCAAGCATGTACAGCAGTGTAAAAAGCGAGCCCCGCCAAGCACCCTGTAAAAAGGTGTACAGTTTGAATTTTGGACCTTCTGTTTTCTATCCCAAGAAACTCGTGTGAGCATCGGCAAGGCTGGCCAAGGCCGATTGGGCAGGTTAACCCTCTGGTTCACATTTCTGTTGCAGGCTGCTAAAATATCCTTCTTCAGAGACAAGAGTGTATCTTAAAATAAACAGATTCCTCCCCACAACGACACTGGGTCCGTGGCACTTTCTGCGGGCAGCTCGCGCCTGCGACGGTGCGGTCCGGGGCTGCGGCGGCTGATTAAAACGCGCGTCCTCCCGATGGGCATCGCCTGGCTCGGGGTTACGAGCACAGCCTCTCCCCTCACCCAGCCTGACCTGCCTCCTGGTCTGCTGTCCCTCTCCAGGACAAGCTCTCCTGCCTGTTGTCTCAGAGATGGGGAAGGGGTGGCTCAGCCCGTCCCTGCCCCGGCGGTTTGACGGGCGTTTTCGCAGCTATGCCGAGAGCTTATCCTGGCTCCAGCTTAGCTGGGAAATTGCTGTATCTGTGTCAGGGCTAATTAACTGCATTTCCCTGAAACTGTGTCAGGCCTGCTGCACAGCCCAACGCCCGCAGGCGTGCCCGGCACCTGAGCTGGGGCTTAACCATCTCACAGTCACCTTCTCCGGGTGCCAGATCCCTTTTCCACACACCCGCTATTTCAGGACCCAACATGGGCTACAAACTTGCTTGTACTCCATTCAGCCTTGCAGGTTTTCATTGAAAAAAACAGCGTCTAGAATAACCACAGCCATTCCTTAGCATCCCTCTCCAGCAGAACATCTTGGGCAGCTTCTCCCAGCCCTTCGGTGGGCACGGGCTGAGGCCCCACCACAAAAGGGGCTTTGTTCCGCTTGCCACTGTGGTGCGGAGCTTTATTGCACGCAGTCGTCACGCACACCCTCCCGAAGACGTGCCGAAACGTCCCTGCTCTGAAAACCTTCATGCCACCCTCAGGATGGTCAGAGAAGGGTGGATGAGAAAGAAGCAAATGAGAGGTCCCTGCCCTAGGGACAGGAGTGAGAGTTTCCCGAAACCTCCTGACAGGGCATCGGTTCCCAAAAACTCAGAAGACCCTGGAATCAGGACAAAATCCCCATCTTCAGTAAACCTGAATCCTTGTTAGCACAAGGCTCCATTAAGTAAGCAACGCACATGCTGCGGGAATAAATCACCAGGGGAAAAAAAATACAGGAAATAAACCCAAAATCCAGAAAAAGACCTCCAGCCTTCAGACAGTCTAGCTGAAATTTCAGTGCTCATTCCCAACCCTCTCACCAGCAAAGCCTTTCTGCTCCCAGCAGGACTGACAGCGGGTATGGGTGGCTCATCCATCTCCCGTCGTCCAGCCCTGGGGAAAGTGATGGGGTCAAGTCCAAAGGCAGGAAAAGCCCCAAAACCCAAGAGCAAGAGGCTGCCTGAGCCCCAGCCCCTGGTGACTGAAGTCCCCGTTACCACTGCTCAGCCCCGGATAGCGGTGCGTACCACAATCATCACCATTTTATTTCAGCTGCTAAAAATAAGCCCAACCAGGGACCTGGAGCTGGGGGTTGGCAGGGGTGTTATTCCTTCAGCTGACCAAGGAGAGAGAGACGAGAAAAAACAGCTTGGTTTTATTTTGTCAGCGTCAGGTTTCCCCCAGCCCCTCTTGGAGCAGCAGGAGCACACGGAAGGGGCTTGGCACAGGGAGGGAAACGGATGCTCTCAAATGAGATTAACCCCCAGCGCCAGCAGCGGGAGGGAGGAGGGTGCTGGGGCCGTTAATTACTCGCCGAGGAAGCAGTGGGACGCACAGGATCTGCTGCCACCACAATTAATGGAGCCATCGGGGCCCCTTGCTCAGCCATGGCTGCCCAAACCCCGGGCTGTCCAAAACACCGGCTCCCCCGCACGCAGGACGACGGCACGCCGTTGAAGCTCAATCTGCCAGGAAAATGGAAGAAGTGCTGGTGCTTTGTCCCACTGCCCCGGGCAGCAGCGCAGGATGGGACCCAAAGGCCCGCGACAGCTCCCAGAGCAGCCCAGCGCTGCGGTCACATCCCGCTGCTGGAGGACCCAGCTGACGGGGTCACACCCTGCGGGTCTTACCATCGCGTCGCCTGCGATAAAAGCCACAGAAGGGGAGATGTAAAGGCATGACCGGTGCCCTCCCTGTGCGACGCTGCCCTGACCGCTCTGAGCCCCTCAGCGTCCCCGGCAGTGTCCCGGTACCCAAAAGCAGCAGCTCTGCAGGAGCCAGGATGCTCCAAGGCCAGGCAGCCCTTTACTCTCCCCGGCCCTTGAACGGAGCTGGCTGATTCAAACGTGGGCTTTTTCTCCTCTCTGTTACATTCACCTTGCAGGAAAAGAATTATCAGAACTGAACACCTTAGAGCCAAACTCACCTCTCATGCCCAATGACAAGTAGGGGGGCAAGTGGGTATTTACTCACGGGCTGGATGTTCCCCCCATCCCGCGCTGCTCCAAGGGCTCCTGCGTTCCGCATAAGGAAAAAATAAGGCGCTATTTTTATTTTTTTTAAAGGACATGGGGAAAAAGGCAGCACTGGCTGCTTTGTATTCTGCTACCAAAAGGACAGAGGAAATTAGTTTTCTCAAAGCAAACCTTAAAGGATGGGAGCTATTGTGGCTGTTTGGGGCTGCCAGACTGTCCCCGGTGTGTCCCCGGCCC